GCGTCTCTTTGGAAGAATACTGCAGTAGCCACATCTTTGCGACCTGATCTGTCACATACAGTGGTGGATCCAACTGTCGGAGCGCCCCGCATAATTTGAAAGGTGTATTATACTCGATGCCCAGGTGGCGGATGGCAGAACCGTGCTGCTCCTCCAGCTCCTGGGCGCTAGAAATACTAACCTTGCCAGGCACAACCCGATACTTGCCCCACCAAGTCTTGCACGCCTGGTGACTGACCTGGATACCCTTTGCAACGAGCGCCTGATGCAAATAATACGGGCTCTCGCAGTCGGCCAAGGGAGGCCGCGACAGCTCCGGGCCATACTGCTCGTCAAGGGCTTTCGCCGTCAAAGCCATGGACCATCCAAGAACACAGGCGATACCTTGATCCGAGATGGCTACGGATGTGCCAGTGATCAGTCGGAGGCTTCCTGGGGCCGCTTGGGGTCCTCTTGGGGAAGGGGGGAAGCCTCCTGGCGCCGCTTGGGGTCCTCTTGAGGGGCTTTGGGGGGCTTCTTGGAAGCATCTTGGGGCCTCTTGGGGGCTTATTGGGTCCTCACGGCGGGCTCTTGGGGCCTCTTGAAGGCCTCCTGGGGCAACCTATGGCGCAACCAGTAGGGGGACGTTTTATTCTCGGCGGCCGAGGGCGCAACCTATGACGCAACCAATAGGGGGGCGTTTTATTCTCGGCGGCCGAGGGCGCAACATATGGCGCAACCGCAAGGGATTCTGGCCCCTGGCAGGCGCGCGAACCCCGTTGCAAGAGCGTGCGAAAGTAGCTCGCGCGAGCTCATGTAACATAAATGTTGGAAAACCATTGGTTTTTTTAGGATTCGGACAGCGCGCGCGGGTGGAAATTTTGAAAAGTCGTGCAGGTGTTTTTCGAGGACCTACGGTGCGATTCGTGTGATTTTATGATGCGCGGTGCTAAAATTCTTAAGAAGCCCAATGGTTTTTGGAGATTTCGGCGTGCGCGCGCGAAGAAAAAACGAATGTGTCCCGCATGGTATTATTTGACAGGGATGATGGCCCTGGCAGGTGCGCAACCGTTGTCGCAGAAGTTCGAAAAAGTTGCTCGCAAAAGCCCGTTTGACAGAAATGTTTAAAAAGTGTTGGGTTTCCTACGAATCCGCAAGAGCGCGCGGGATGAGATTTTGACATTTTTTGTTGAAAAACCATTGGTTTTTTGATGTTTTTATGTTAAAATCGCTCCGAACACTAAGCTTTTGGAAGGATTTCGTCTTGCGCGCGCGAATGTCCACTTTACCTTATTTTTTGCAAGGGATTCTTGAAATTTGATTATATTAGAACAAGAAATGTCATTTTATAGTGTTTTTTGCAAGGGAAAGCGGATTACAACAAAACAACCGGATCTTGATCACATCGAATTACCTGAGGCTTCCTCACGAAAATGATGAAAATGTAGCTGCGGCCTAGGCGGCGCAGGGGGGGCGCGCACCAGGGGGCCCAACAATAATTATTCTTTAGAATTAATAATGTTCAACAACAACAACAACAACAATTACTAGCACGTGGGGACACTCCGTTCTCACCAGTGCCAGGGTTTTCATAGGAGGCGGGCAATACCCCCACTTTGTGGGGGGGCCGGTTCAAGCTCTACCAAATTTCCAAACGACTCTTCGCCACCACCCACACCCAGCTTCCCGCCCTATGACGTTCGGACACTTCACTTCGTGGCATGCGGACGACCGTGGCTACTATTTAGGGCCCCGCGGCCGACGACGACGGCGTGCGCGCGCGAAGAAAAAACGAATGTGTCCCGCATGGTATGATTTGACAGGGATGATGGCCCTGGCAGGTGCGCAACCGTTGTTGCAGAAGTTCGAAAAATTGTTCGCAAAAGCCCGTTTGACAGAAATGATTAAAAAGTGTTGGGTTTCCTACGAATCCGCAAGAGCGCGCGGGATGAAATTTTGACATTTTTTAAAAAACCATTGGTTTTTTGATGTTGTTATGTTAAAATCGCTACGAAAACTAAGGTTTTGGAAGGATTTCGTCTTGCGCGCGCGAATGTGCACTTCGTGTCATTTTTTGGAAAGGATTCTTGAAGTTTGGTTATGTTAGAACAAGACATGTCATTTTATATTTTTTTTGACAGGGAAAGCGGGCGTCAACAAAACAACCGGATCCGGACTCCCCCGTTTTGCCTGAGACTTCCTCACGAGAATGATGAAAATGTGGCTGCGGCCTAGGCGCGGCGAGGGGGGCGTGCACCAGGGGGCCCAACAATAATTATCTTTTAGAAGTAATAGTATTCAACAACAGCAAGAATCCGCATCGCGAAATTCCACTTCAGCCACGCACCCAGGGACAGTGAATGACCGCTCGGTTCAGCCCCCTTACTCTGACAATCTATAAGAGTATACCATGCCATGCACATCACAACATAACAGAACAGCCAATCGTAGAGTCCACAAGGCATTACATGGCGTAGCACAGCACAACATACCATCACATAGCCGAACCTACCACGGCATAGCAGAGCATACAATAACACAGCATCACGTAACGCAGCATACCGAACTAGAACGCATCACTGCGACAAAGCGGGGCTTTGCAGTGCACCGCATACCAGGACAGATGACAACATATCATAAGTGTTCCATTGCTGTTGTCACTACGAAAGCGACTAGACTAAACCACATTAGACGACACTCACGTTTAAGAACCCGAACGCACATGCCATTGAATAGTACAACGCAGCATGAAGTAATCGCATCGGCCACAGCAGCATTGACAGCCGTATACAGCATGGCGGCTGGATATGCTTCGAACTGCGCAAGAGAACACATCGCTGGCTCCCACATAGCGTGGTTACCCTTAACAGCGCATCTGAACGAACATAGCACAGCCACGACGTACGCCCAGTATAGTGCAATACCCTAGACTTGTGAATCACAGTATAAACTCATACTGTGCATATGGGCGGAGTGGTAGAATATTGTAACAAGGTCATGTCTATAATCAGGTGTGCCATAGCATATTGCAGAATATGGTTGAACGTAACATCGCGTAAAAAGACAGCACATAGCAAGTGTATAACGCAGATGAACATAACACACAATAATAGGAGAGAGAGCGTAGCAGAACACATCATACATTATTACACGCAAGTAGTACAGAGCTGAGCAGGGCTGAAAATAAAAGACAAGAAAGCATCAGCTACCGATTGACGGCACCCTATCGGACGCGACGTGCGCGCCGAGGTCAGGCTGGCCACAGACACAAAGAGGCTCAGCAACGACCGATTGGACGACGTATCAAACGTGACAGGCGTCTCGACGTCATGCCGGCCCGTCCATGAAACAGAACACCACAAATTATATTATAATAGAAGAGGGCAGAATTCAATATAACACAGCTGAAGATTGTAGAATACAGCAGAGACCCATTAACGGCGCCATATCAAACGCCACATGCGAGCCGGCGTAAGGCTGGCCACGGGAACAAACAGGCGCAGCAGCGACTGATTAGACGACATATCAAACGTGACATGCGTCATGGCGTCACGCCGCCCCGTCCAGAGCAGAACAGAAGAAGCCAAATGTGAATAGAACATAGTCTAACCGAACGCGACGTGATACAATAGAATGCAGCAGCGACTTAATACTGGCGTCTTGTCAAACGCGACATGCGCGCGCCGAGCTCAGGCTGGCCACAGTAACAAACAGCACCAGATTTGGGAACAAGCGCCGAAGGTTTCGGCGGGGATCGCTCGAAGCTAAATCTTTGAGAATTGCGGGGGTCCTCCACTTCTCGGTCGAAGGTGGCTCCACGATGGCTCCCGAGGAGAGGAGGGCGCCCCAGGAAGCCTTCGGAGGGCCCCATCGAGCACCGCTGGGTGGCCCTGGAGTGCCCGGAGAGCCGCGGCGGCCCAGGGGAACCCCACATTCAGCCCCAAGGGTGGCTGCAGCGCGCCTGGAGCTGCCGAGCTGTGTTAAGAGGGCTCCGAGACTTCCCGTGGGCCGAAGATGTCTGGCGCGGGGTATGAAAGCGTTTGCATTGCGGTGCGATTTTGCTCAGCGTTGCCTTCGACGCTTCACAGTTTGACCAACCCTCCCGAGCTCTTTTCTACCCCCTCCTCTCCTCCTCTTTGCCTCTTCCTTTCCTCCTCGCTACCTCTTCGCTCCCTCCCCGTTTCGTCATTACTTTCTTCTCCCTTTCTTGGGTGCTGCCAGGCGCGCCACAGTCGCCACTTTGCTGCGCCCCTGGGGGGGGGTCCAGCGGAGTGGTGCCCCACGCAGATCGAGAGAGACCTCGCCCTCCCTGGGTGCTGCCATGCGCGCGTCCGTAGACACTTTCCTGCGTCCCTGAAAGTTCCAGCGGAGTGGCGTCGAAAAAAAGCAGACCCAGTCAAGACCACACCATCCTTGGGCGCTGCCATGCGCGAAAAGGTCTCCATTTTGCTGTGCCCTCTGCGGATTCCAGCTAAGTGTTGTCCTGCGCAGACCCGGGAGACCTCTCCCTCCATGAGTGATGCCGGGCTGCGCAGCTTGGCTGCGACCCCTTGGGGGGGGGGTCAGAGGAGTGGCATTCCATCCAGATCATACGACGTACGAGACCTTGCCCTCCCCGGGGTGCTGCCAAGCGTGCGTCCACTTTGCTTCCCCTTGTGGGCCCAGCGGGGTGCGGTGCTACGCAGACCCGAGCGGGACGCCGTCCTCAGGGGGACTGTCGGGCGGTCGTGCGCAGCTCCCACCTCCCTTGTCCTCCTTGCTCTGCGTCGTCGTCGTCCTTCTTCTCTTTTCCCCACCGCCTGTCACGTGGAATTGCTTCAAAACGGTCCCATGGGCGCCATGGCTTAGTATTCTTTATCCCAACCAGGTATCGCATGCCCTTCCCTTTGGTCATTCGTTCTGGCTGGGCCTGTTGTTGTAGATGGGCTGGGTACGTCCCTGGGTACATTTTGGCATGTCTTTTATCCTCCTGCTTGTCAGGGTCGCGTTGGGGCAATTCGTGAGAGCTTCAGTAATCATGATGACCTCGTGCAACTGTCAGGTGCAAGGAGTCACCGCAATGACTGAACATTGGCTCAAGATGTGTTAGCCAATTTTGATGTTATGTGTTAGCGATGCTTGCTGACGAGGATGTGTCTTCAAAGCTTGCACTTGCCAGAGACGTCGCCTTCTCTTCGTTGCAGTGGCCGCCAGCGAATGAGAAAGAGCCATCCCTGACCGAGCAGCCGCTTCGGCTCATCGGTCGTCTTGCGAATGACGGTCCATCATCAACAACACTCCTTTGGGACGAGAGCCGGCGCTGTTTTGCTTTCCATTGGCCCGGCATCTTGGCTGCGGTAGCGGAGCGTCGCGGTTTCTTCGATGCTCTTCTGAGCACCGCACCGTGGCGGGAGCTCGTGGGCTTCAATGGTGAGGTGACTCGTTCGACTTGCTGGTACGTGCGCGAGCCGTGCACCTGTGATTATACTTATGGTTCAGACCGAATCTCGATGCAACGACCAGCTGAGGGATTTGTTGCCCTGATGGAAGAATTGACCGAGCACGTGTTCGAGGCAATCAGTCCGTCTTGGCCGCGAGAGGAATTCCCAGACTCTGCGAATTTGAATTTGTATGAAGACGACTCGCAGTCGGTAGGCTGGCATGCAGACGACGAGTCGTTGTTCGCAGGCAAGCGCGAGGACTGCGCGATTGTTTCGCTGTCCCTCGGCGGCACTCGCGAGTTCTGGCTCAGGCTGAGGGATGCCGACAGCGCGCGCAGGCCGGAGTTCTGCAGCACCCTCGAGGTGGACCTTGCCGATGGAGACGTGCTCAGCATGGAGGGCCTCTGCCAGAGGCACACGGTCCACCACGTGCCGACGGGGCCGGCGTCTGCGCACTCGGGAACCGGATGTCCCCGCATCAACATCACCTGGAGGTGCCAGGGCGCGAGCTAAGCGGTGTTTTTCGGCGATCTCGGGGGCCGTTGCTGTTCTGGTCTCGTTTTTTGCGGCAAGGGCGGAGCGAGGACAGAACGAGGGAAAGCGAACGCAAAGCGAAAACGGAGAACATTGTTTAGCTCGAGGCCTGCGAGGTGGATCAAGGAGCACAAGAAAAAGTGTCCTCTGCGTACAACTCCAGCGCCCAAAGCCGGGTTCGAGTCCCCGATCGTCACCCCGCAGCCCTTGCCCAGCGGCGTGATCGCAGGATTCTGGGCAGATCCATCCTCCACTGTGCGATGGCACCGTCAGTGTGACGTGTGCCGATGGCGGTGCGGGAGGAATTGCGTCAAGCAAGGTGGGCAGTGGGTGTGCCGTTTGTGCCTTCACAGGCCCAGCGACACAATGTCAGCAAGGGAGCTGGGCCCGAGCGATGCCTTGACACTGGAGTACTTGGAGCGCGTGTCTCCCAGAGCGGTCGGCCTTCCATTCCAGAGGCCAGACGTATCTTCCTCTCGCCTGGCGAACTTCCAATCATATTATCCAGATGCCTGCGGCAAGGTCTGCCACCGTGCCAGCGCAGAGCGCGGCACTTCATGCGGCGAGCCGGGGGGAATCGCCCGGAGGGCCACAACATGTGACACACTCTTCCGCGCGCTCGAGAAGCTTGCGACACAGAAGGCGGCGCATCAAACAAGAAGTGGCCTGCCAATGGGTGCCCCACGGAAATTTATTCTTATCTCCACATGGGGCCGCAGAGACCTGGTACACCTTGCGAAGCTCAGAGTCGTCGAAGCATGTGCCCCTAGACTTCTTTGACCAAGATGTTTCACTGTACGCGCTTACTGTGTGATCCTCTCTGCACCAGATCCCAGTGGGCCACAAATCTGTAGCACCTCGCTCCCCCAGTGGAGGAGGCCGTGACGTCTGGCAGTTAACGCCGGCATGACCCAGAGGGCCTGGCACTTACGCGGCAGAGCTCTCTTGCGCATCATCCGGAGGCCTTCTCAGAAGTCGGCGGAGCCTCTCGGAAGCCCTCTGGCCTTCTGAGAAGCCCCCTGCGGCTTCGGAGCAGGCTCAGAAAGTGGCTCGGAAGCCTGGAGGCCTTCTGAGCCTTCTGAGATGGCCTCTTGCATCCCCCCCTGGGCGCGCCGCCGAGACGTGCCCTCAGGCTCCGTCGCCGTACGGCCGCCGAGACGGGCGCGACCTCTCCCTTGGAGGCGGAGCGAAGGCCTCGCCCCAGCGAGGGCCACCTGGCGGCTGAGCCGACCCCGAACTGGCAAAAGCCGCCCTCGACGAGGCCTCTGCCGGCGCACGCGGCGTCCAGCGGCGCGTACTCGTCGGCCCCCGTACCCCAGCGCCTCGGCCGAGAGGTGGCACCGAATCAGCGGCGCTGGGAGTGGTCAGGGGTAGCTCCTGAGTGGCGCCTCGGTGGCTTCAACCGGGTCTGCCCCGGACTGGAGTTATCGCGGATAGCTCGGGCGTCCAACCACTCCCGAATCATCGGGGCCGGGGGCGGTCAGGGGCAACTCCTGGTTCGTGCGTCGGGGGCCTACAGCTGGATCTTAGCCCGGACCGGAGATATCACCGCTCGTCGGCGAGCACCAGGTTACTAGGCGGGCCCAGCATCGCCAGGTCCGACTTGGGCGCCCGACTGTGTCAAATCCGACGTTAGGAGGGGTAGGCTGAGGTGTTTTCGTCGGTTCTCTGCGTTTTCGTCGGCTCTCAGCTGTTTTCCAGCCTCGGGATGCTTTCCAGCAGCAGGAGTGCCCAGGTCGTCCCGAAGGGCCGCCAGAGACCCGAGTTATGCCTCGAACGCTGGAGGACCAGGATCTCCAGGGGGGCAGGTTCAGGGGGGAACGCATCGGCTCCGAATCGCCCAATGATCGCTGATAGGGGTCCGATGGCCGACCTCGCCCAGGAGCGCGCGGTTTCGCTATCGGGTTCCTGTCGCCGGTCTATCGGCGATGTATCGCTGATTCTAGCTCGATGTTCCCCCCTGAGCTGGCTACCCCCCATTATGCCCCATTCGTTGCCCCTCAGGGGAGGAAGAGGAGGGATAGGAGGCGGAGGAGGAGGCGGAGGAGGAGGAGGAGGAAGAGGAGGAAGAGGAGGACGGGAAGGAGAAGGAGGAGGAGGAGAAGGAGGAGGAGGAGGAGGCGGAGGAGAAGGCGGAGGAGGAAGAGGAGGAAGAGGAGGAGGAACAGGAGGAGGAGGAGGAGGAGGAGGAGGAGGAGGAGGAGGAGGACGAGGAGCAGGAGGAGGAGGAGGACGAGGAGGAGGAGGAGGAGCAGCAGGAGGAGAGCTGGTTGGGCGGCAGTCCAGGAGCAGCCTGAGCGCAGGGGGCTCCACACTCCCCGTGGGCAGGGCGCCTCCACGCGATGAGGCCCACGTTGGTGAGACACCGAAGGCTGAAGTCCGGCCGAGCCCCCCCCCCCCTGTGAGGCTGTGCTACTGGAGGTCTTTTGGGTCCCTCTTCGAGCACCTCGGGGGCCTCTTGGGGCCTTCTTGGCGCTCCTGGGGGCTCTCTTTGGGCCGTCTTCGGGGCCTCATGACACCTCATGGGCCATCTTGGGAAGTTCTTGGGCCGCCTTTGGGCCGTCTTGGGGCTATCTGGAGCACTTAGGACGTCATCCTGGGCCAACACCCTAGGTTCAGACAAATCTGAGCTGTCTAGGGTCTCCCTTGGGGCCTCTCCTCGGGCATCGTAGGTCGCCTTCGAAGCCTCTGGGGCATAGAGGAGTCCTTCTTGGGCTGTCTGGGGAGCAATCTTAGGCAGGTTGGAAGCGTTGGAGACAGCATGGCAAGCTGCGGAGTGCCGAGGGAGCATTCCGAGTGGGCGCGGTGCATGCAAGCAGTTTGGCTACCTAGGCGGGGGGGGGCGTTAAAAACCTACAGGAGCGCAGCAAGGCAGCCCTGGCGTGATTCCACGCTTCAACGTGACAGGGGGCACGTTCGCGGATTTATCGCAACAGATTTGCGATGTGAAGACATGGCAGGTTGTCTGGTCGAAGTTGCTGACGCCTTCTCCGCTGACAGTCAAGGTCGTCGCTGCTGGTGAATTCGCTGGAGTACTGCCACGAAGTATGCTTCTGGCTGCGTTGCAGCAATTTGCCTCAGAAGCCGGAGCTACCATCCGAAAGCTTCCAAGTTTTGTCCAGGGCTGTTGGTTCGAAATCACCGCACCGAGCGATCAATGGTGCGCGACTGGGCAGTTGCAAGAGCTTCTGCTCATGGGGGAGAGCGTTGGGTTGCTCCATGTTCGAGATATCGTCTCGGCGTTGCCGTGTTTCTTTGCTGACCCGTCAGCGGAGGTTATCTTGGACCTGTGCGCAGCACAAGGGGCCCATGGATTGGAGCATCTGCAGCAGCACTGTGGCGATAAAGAGAGGATGCTCATTGCAAATGAGGTCGACACAACGAGTGCAAGTCCACTCAAGGACCGTATCCAGTATCAGCCCTGCGTTGCAAGAGGAGTTCTTGTCACAACGGTGGATCCCGCAAGTTTCCCTGTCTTGCGGTCATCTGAGCTCCAACCGCCCGGCACGGTGGTACAAGCGGCTCCAGCGTTAAGTGTGGATGAGCTCTCGGCGACTTGGGGGCGGTACTGGTCGCACCAGGCAGCTCTGGCTGCAACGAACCCGTGGTGGCAAGAACGCAGGACGCAGTATGACCTCATCTTTGCAAACGTTCCCTGCGGGGGGGATGGCCTGGCGAGGACGAAGCCTGAAACACTGGCCAGGTGGAGCACCGCCAGAGGGCTCGCGCTCTTCCCCAAGCAGTTGGCGATCCTTCGCCGTGGCTTGCAGCTGTTGAGGCCAGGTGGTCACCTGATCTACTCGACTCGCAGCTTGGACCCAGTGCAGAACGAGGCGGTTGTAGCCGCGGCCATGTGTCTCCACAATGCGCACGAGGCCACTACAGTTTGTCTTCAAGATGTGGCTGCCAGACTCGCACCAGAGATTGCTGATGCTCTCTTGCCAGGGTTGCCATGTTGGGGCGTGCCAGGGTCTGACTTCTCTTCGGCCTGTCCCCGCTTGTTTCGCACTTGGTCTGAACTGCCCCAGGGCCAGGCAACCACGCAAGGCCCAAGGCCTCATCGCGAGATGTTTCCCAATTTCTCCGGTGGCTTGGCCGAGGATTGCGTCAAGTGCCGCCGAGCTGTTCCATGCGCCGCCCTCGACAGTGGCTGTTTGTTCCTCGCTCGCATTCACAAGATCGACCCGCAACACCTCAAGAGGAACAAGAAGACGGTCTTTGCGCCACGTTGCCACCCGATTTTCAAGCCTGCGAGGAGTGTGAACGGCCTCGATCCAGAGAAGGGTTGCATCCTGAAGTTTTTCGGCCTCCACTCCAAGGAAGAGCATGCCGCCGCATGCGGGGTGAGCCGCTTCCCCTTGGAGCTCGTCGCGCTTGCACCAGCCAGCCGCGACGTCTTGGTGCTGCGCTCGTCAGCAGGAGAGCCGCTGCAGGAGCACAAGGAGCTGAAGACCGTCGGCGGGGGCCTGCCGCTGCTCAAACGCGTGGCCTCTGGGGGCCGCTTCTTTCAGCACGAGCTGCCCGGCCAGGTCTTCGACTGGAGGCCCCTGCCAGAGGCGGTCGGCATACTGGGCCGCTGCTGCACCCGGCGCCTGGTGTCGCTGCCTCCGGCGCTGCTGGCGGCACTGCTCACGGACCTCGAGCTCGGCTCCAGCTCGGGGAAGGATCAGCGGCATGAGGAGAAGCTGTCGGAGGTCCGTGCGGAGTTCTTGGATCGGCACTGGGGGCGGCGCCAGAGGGTCCTCAGTGCAGATGATCCTAGCGCAGATCCAAAACATCCGCGCGGAGCTCCGAAAGTTTCTGCTTGTGCAGCTCTCTCTTCTTCTGCCAGCGCGATTCCCCCGGGGAGCCTCGCCGGCTGCCACGCCTGGGGCGACCGCGTGCGAGACGGGGTCGTGCCGGGAGGGGTGGTCGTGGGCCTCGCCGGCGCTGCGGGGAGGTGCGGGCCGCCCTTCTTCGCCGCGCTGCTCTCGTCGGAGAGGCTGCTGCTCCTGGGCGGCCCCGCCGCACGGCACCGGCTGCACGCCCGGGCCCTGTCGCTCGCGCCAGGCTGCTGCGACCTCTTGCGAGCCCTACCCCTGCGGGTCCAAAAGACGCTGGGGTACCAGGGCGCCCCCGCTGAGGCGCTCTTGAGCGACGCCAGATTTACAGGAACGGGGTCGTCTGCGCCGGCATTGGCGCGTAAGCTGCTGGCGTAAGGTCACGCGTAAGCGCCCTCGCCTCCAATGCAGCGTGCCGCGCCAGCGACCCGCGTAAGCCGCAGCGTTTGGTCGCTACGTCGTCTCGCGTAAGACCCGTTTCTTTTCGTCGCCCATTGGACCCTTCAAATCCTGAACCCCAGCCAGTTTTTCAGAAATCTGACCTGCACGGGTAGGGTTCACGTGTGGTTGCTTGAGGTTGCAGCGCATGGCGGACTCTCTGCGGCGGCGAAGGCGGCACTCTGCAGGTGTGTCCACAAGGCCCTGTGGCATCGGCTACACGCCCGGGTGCTGTCGGTCATTCCAGGTAGCATCGAAGGGCAGACTCTGCGGCGGCGAAGAATCGAAGAAGAAGAAGAAGAAACGATAGTATGAATATGAACTTCGGCGGTCCTCCTGCGCCGCCCCTGGCGCGCTCCGCGCACTGAGGGAGGTTCAGCGCCGATCCAAGAAATCCTTTCGGACCTCTGAGTGATGTGTGGTTATGTGTTTGTTCAGCTCCTCTATTAGACGTCACCCTGCAGGCGTGAGCACAAGACTCTAGAATACTAGGACTCCTGCGCCGAAGTGCTTTCCAGGAGGCCTCATGGCATTGCCTAGCTCCTGACCTCAACTGGGCACGCGCGTTGGCGATTGAGAAGAGAAGCATGGCGCGCGAATATTCTTGCTGACCTGCAGCTGGGCGCATCGTCTGTCGAGAGCATGACGCTTGGCGTGGGCAATAGTCAAGGAGATGAGCTGCAATGAACAGCATGTAATTTAGTATAAACACGAATGACCGCTATGCGCAGGTGTACAGAGCGACTTTTGCACGGTCATCATTCGCACCATGTTCTCGTCGCCAGGTGGCAGCCACATCATCATCAAAAAGGTAGGAGTCGTCGAAGAGCAAGGGCGTCGCTCGCCTTGGAAGAAGGATATGTAATCAGGGTGGTGCGTTTAGCTTGTCAAACTTGTCGCGTCTCTTCGCTTCGCACTGTCCAGCTTTTCCCGTCTTGCGATGTTTTCGGGGTTCTTCGAAGATGGAGTGCAGCAGAATGGGTGGAATGGCATATAATGGACCAAGGAGTGCAGCGAGGGAGGAGTGCGGAGGTGACAGCGCAATACGGGGACTAACACATATGAGGGGCGCGACAAACCGAGTAAGAATGGGGTCTCTCGTCGTAGACGTTGGCCTGCTGGACGACGGCCTTGAGGAGCGGGTGGGAGATGGAGCGAGAAGGTGAGGGTGAGGGGAGGGGGAGAAGGAGGGGAAGGGGCGTCAACATCTTGTATGCCATCGGGTTCCTGGATTTGCCCCTCCTCCCTCACTGCGCCCGCTGCTGCGGCAGTAGCGTGGAAGACGCGCGCAGGCCACGGTGTGTGTGTGTGTGTGTCGCTTTGTGGACCAAGTCTCACTCCGCGCATCAGTCTGCCTGACCGCCTGCCTGCCCGTCCACAGCACCGCGCGTGGAGTGCTGCACGCCCTGAGCGCGGCTCCCTCCTGTCTCCTCCTCCGCGGCCGCTCTCCCGCTTCTCCAGCCGCTTCGGTGCGGCAGGCCGGTGCCGTGCCGATGGCGGCGACCCCGCGGCGGGCGTTCGAGGCAGAACACCGCCAGTGGCCCGGAAGCGGTTAGCTTGGGACGACCAGACGATCGAGGAGCCACCAGCCGTTTGCCTGGGTCACGCCCAGGTGCGTTTCGCGCGTCGCGGTATGGGTTGGAGAGGCGCCCTTCTCCAGAGCGGCGGCGCGAGGGCGCGAAGACAACCGCGCGTCGCGCATCGCGGGGCGCCAGGCGCGAAGTTAGACGACCTAGATTTCCGGGTTGTGCCATCCACGCCGTGTCAGAAGCCAACGCCGTGGCTGCCATGTCGTGAAAAGCTGTCGTGCACCAGCAGCCCCGCCGCGCCCCGGCCGTTGCCGCTCCACGCGTCGTGCCCCGCGCGGCCGCCCACCTGCCCATCAGCTTCGGTGTGCACACAGCCCTGCCGCGTCCCGGCTGCTGCCGCTCGACGCCCCGTGGCCCACGCGGCCGCGGACGAACGACATTGCCCCGCCCGCCCGCCCGCGCGCCCCCGTCCAGGGAGAGCGTGTCCACCGCTCCCTGGGGCCTCTCGGCCACGGCCGTCGTGGGGCTCACCTTTTGCGCTGCACGGGCCGCTGCGGTGGGGGCATTCGTGGAGGAGTGGCCTCAGACCCCGGAGGATCCCTTCCCTGATGAGGGCGGCGGTGATATACATGGCCAGGCCCCAATTGGTGCTCCACCCGCTTGCAGATCCTGGGATTCTCATCCAAGGGTTCCTCGTCCAATGGCCTCACCGTGTCGGATGATCGCACCATCTGGGCGGCAAGAGTGGCAAGAGAAAGGTGCAACTGACTTAGGCGATGTGGCCTCTGCAGCTGCCGGCAAGTGTAGCAACATAGAGCAATTTACGAATCAGGTGGACCGCGAGGGCTCAGAGTAACGTAGCACCCCGCAATTGCGGATAAGAGTGAGGGGGCGGGCGCGGGCGACGCGGGCGTCGTCAAGCCGGCGGACCTCGTGGCCCCCACCTTCCCTGTCCTCCTCCTCCTCTCCTCCTCCTCCTCCTCCTCCTCCTCCTCCTCCTCCTCCTCCTCCTCCTCCTCCTCCTCTTTCTCCACATTCTCCTTACATCCTCTCTTCTTTCGCGTCCTCCTCGTCCCCTGTTTACTCCTCCTGCCTCCCCCTCCTTTCCCAAGATAACGGCAACGCAATCCTTTTTTCCACTTTATGCTCCCCGACTTCTCTGATCAAGGCAACTCGCCAGGGCAAAGTTGCTGGACGGGCTGGTGTGGATGCGCGGGGCTTGAAGAGGTCGTTGCGGGCTCAGACGGCATGCAAAAATCCGCCGCCGCAGTTGTGCGGCATTGGTTTGTTCAATGAACATGGTTTGGGTCGCGGGCTCTCCACCTCCACCTGGAAGGAATGCAAAAGCAGCCCGCCGCAGGCGCCGAAAAAATTAGCTTGTACACTGAACGTGGAATGGGTCGCGGGTGGGCCGCGGGTTCTCAACCGGGAGCGGATGCAAAAGATGCCCGCCGCAGGCGCCGAAAAAATTGGTTTGTACCCTGAACGTGGTCGCGGGTGGGCCGCGGGCTCTCCATGAAACGAATGCAAAAGATGCCCGCCGCAGGCGCCGAAAAATGTGGTTTGTACCCTGAACGTGGTTTGGGTCGCGGGTTGGTCGCGAGTTGGTCGCGGGGTGGGTCGCGGGCTCTCCACTTGGAAGGAATGCAACAAAAACCCGCCGCAGGCGCCGAAAATGGTGGTTTGTGCGTAGCACCCCGCAATTGCGGATAAGAGTGAGGGGGCGGGTGCGGGCGACGCGGGCGTCGTCGAGCCGGCGGACCTCGTGGCCCCCACCTTCCCTGTCGATGGCTCTCTCCTCCTCCTCTTCCTCTTCCTCCTCCTCCTCCTCCTCCTCCTCCTCCTCCTCCTCCTCCTCTTTCTCCACATTCTCCTTACATCCTCTCTTCTTTCGCGTCCTCCTCGTCCCCTGTTTACTCCTCCTGCCTCCCCCTCCTTTCCCAAGTGGGTCGCGGGCTCTCCACTTGGAAGGAATGCAAAAAAAACCCGCCGCAGGCGCCGAAAATGGTGGCTTGTACCTTGGACGAGGTTTGAATCGAAGGTGGGTCGCGGGTGGGTCGCGGGGTGGGTCGCGGGGTGGGCCGCGGGTGGGTCGTGGGTGGGTCGCGGGGGGTCGGGTGGTCGGGTGGGCCGCGGGCGGTCGAGTGGGTCGCGGGTGGGTCGCGGGTGGTCGCGGGTGGGTCGCGGGGTGGGTCGTGGGTGGGTCGCGAGGTGGGTCGCGGGTGGTCGCGGTGGGTCGCGGGTGGGTCGCGGGGTGGGTCGCGGGTGGGTCGCGGGTGGGCGCGGGTGGGTCGCGGGGTCGGGGTGGGTCGCGGTGGGTCGCGGGTGGGTCGCGGGCGGGTGCGGGTGGGACGACGACAACACAACAACAACAAACAACAAACAACAACAACAACAACAACAACAACAACAACAACAACAACAACAACAACAACAACAACAACAACAACAACAACAACAACAACAACAACAACAACAACAACAACAACAACAACAACAACAACAACAACGAGAATCCGCACCGCGGAATCCCACTTCAGCCACGCACCCAGGGACAGTGAATGAACCGGGTGGGTCGCGGGTGGGTCGCGGGTGGGTCGCGTCGTGGTGGGTCGCGGGTGGGTGGGTCGGGTGGGTGGGTCGCGGTGGGTCGCGGGTGGGTCGCGGGTGGGTCGCGGGGTGGGTCGTGGGGTGGGTCGCGGGGTGGGTCGTGGGTGGGTCGCGGGTGGGTCGCGGGTGGGTCGCGGGGTGGGTCGCGGGGTGGGTCGCGGGGTGGTCGCGGGTGGGTCGCGGGTGGGTCGCGGGTGGGTCGCGGGGTGGGTCGCGGGGTGGGTCGCGGGTGGGTCGCGGGGCGGGTTGCGGGTGGGACGACGACAGCAAACAACAACAAACAGCAACAAACAACAACAAACAACAACAAACAACAACAACGAGAATCCGCACCGCGGAATCCCACTTCAGCCACGCACCCAGGGACAGTGAATGACCGTTCGGCCCCCTCACTCTGACTAGAACTGGCAGCAAGTAGAAGGGGGAGGAGGAAGTGCCCATAGCGCAACATGATCGGAAAGGGATGGAGGGGAGGTAGTCGAAATGCCGTGAAGGGTGCGGGCGGCAGCTGGTCTGAGGTTGACTGTATGCCAATTGGCAGCTCACAGCGGGACACCTCTTGGCAAGGCGTCCCCTGCTAGGGTCTCAAACGGGTGAGGTTCACCTCCTCTTCCCGCCGCTCCCCCCCCTCCTCCCCGCGTCCCTCCTCAGGGCCACTCCTCTGTGGAGGAGTTCGCAGTCTCCCCCCCTCAGCCCGCCTTCCATCCTCCTACTCTTCCTTCTTCTCCTCCTCCTCCTTCTCCTCCTCCATGCTCCATCCTCCATCCTCCATCCTCGTCCTCGTCAATCCTCCTTCATCCTCCCTCCTCCTCCTTCTCCTCCTTCTCATCCTCCTCCTCCTTCTCCTCCTCCTCCTCTTCCATCCTCCCTCCTCCTCCTCCTCCTCCTCCTCCTCCTTCTCCTCTTCATCTTTCTCCCTCCTTCTCCGCCCGCCATCCTCCTCGTCGTCGTCCTCCTCATCCTCCTTCTCCTCCTCGTCTTTCTCCCTTTTCTCCGCCCGCCATCCTCCTCGTCCTCCTCCTCCTCCTCCTCCCTCATTCTTGGGCCTCTCTGCAACGGCCCGCGTATGGGAGGCCCGCCCTACGATCCCTGCACCATGCTCGCCGGATGGAGGAGGCGCTGATCGGCTACAACCGCGCCAGCTGGTGGGGCAGGGGGTCAGGGGCTGCGTCGGCGGAAACTGTCAGGGGCTGAGGAGGAGGAGGAGGAGGAGGAGGAGGAGGAGGAGGGGAAGGGGGAGGATGAGGAGGACAAGGGCGATGAAAGTGTTGAGGAGGAGGAGGAGGACGAGGAGGAGGAGGAGGAGGATGAGGAGGAGGAGGAGGAGGAGGAGGAGGGAGGAGGTGGAGGAGGTAGTGGGAAAGGAGGAGGATGTGGGGAAGGTCAGTTAGGTGGAGGAGGTGAGCGTGAAGGTGAGGGAGGAAGAGGGAGGAGGAGAGGAGGAGGAGGAGAGGAGAATGAGGAGGTACACGGAGGAGGATGAGAGGAGGAGGAGGAGGAGAGGAGGAGGGGGGAGCAGCAGAATGGGGGGGGAGGAGGAGGAGGAGCTCGGCTGTCTGCCACCCGCAGTTACGATTGCTGGCTTCTGCGGGCATTGCACAGACGGACTCCAGCCCGTGTGCCGGCCGCCGAGCGCGCGGTCGGGCGGAACGGGCAGGCTTGACAC